ATATCCGATTACTCCAATTCGACTCACTCACAATCCTCTTATGAACAACGACACCGCCCTTGCATTCGACACTGTTATGCCTGTCAAGGATATGGCCATCGTGCCATCTATTGTTGTTACCATACTTGTTCCACATGCGGACTAGATACCCCCGGACACCATGCTAACAAGTGCAACAGACAACAAAATCACCCCTTCACTGCAGATAGTTGGGGATTAGATGATATGCATAACGACTTGGACGAAGACGCGCGGTACAACATAGACGGAGAGCTAGGAGACTTCGGAGCAGTCTGAACCTAAAGAGGGGGTAATGTTACGTACTGTATCTCTTATGGACTTTATTTCTTCTTAGAGTAGCTACCTACCGCTACTCACTCATATTTTCCCACACTAGTTACCTGTTACGGTTTCACCTGTCATCGTTTGTTCAACACAAACACCTACCCTAAAGTAGACAGTATATATACATGCCTGTATTGTAGATTACATCTCCAATACAATTGTACACTTCAACAGTGCAACTTGGTATTCATCAGTAAACCCTCTTCATCAGAATACATCTCAAACCAGTTACCCAAGGGCTTATCAGAAACCGCTTCATTGCCAGAAACCCCTCTTGTTACCAGGCTTGTACATTCCAAGCGTAACAATGAGAGCCTCTGTTCATGGTCTATCCACAGGATCTGGTACAGCTGAACAGTAAATTAAATAAACAAACGGTATTACAAAAAAGAAAGAGAAAACATTATATGGGGACTCAAAAATGACATAGAGGTTTGACATATATATCATGACTACTATCTGCAAGGCTCCAAAGTGGTCAGCCTGTAGGCTATCAACAATCCTGAAGGTTAGTATTTACCTATGGACCAACCAGTACCCCAAACAAATTGGGATATAAGGGGAGGCCTCCTGGAGGATGGTCTCTTAGATGCATCACTATATGACGATGCGTGGGAACCTCCCCAAAGTGCCGCCAAGGGTGCCGTTCATTAACGTTCATTGGCAGCATCGGCATCTCTGCCTTGTACGGAAACTTGTAAATACGCCTATGGCACGACAGCATGATTCGTGTCCTACTCATGACACCATTACTAGGCATAGCATTAGTATCATGATAATAAACACTGAACTTTGACTGAAAAATCTACTCACTTCGGATGAGACACTATTGTCTATTGCACTGTGCGATTTCGGTTTTGACGATCTTCAAAAGCAAGAAGTGAGCAAATTATTTCTCACCTGATGTTACAGGATTTAGTTATGTCGCGATAGCCTGAGCGTGTTGGCTGTGCAAAGCAAAAGTTCCAACAGAAAACATTCGCGCCCACTACGTATTTGTTTCGGAGTGGCTGTGCTAAATAACGAGCACGGTCTTCTACATAGAAACCTAGACACAGCGTCCAACAGCCCAAACGTATTCTTGTCACATGTGCACTTGCGACAAACACAGCTTTGGTATGGACCGTTATCCATATATAAAACTACAGCACGGATTTTTGTTGTCTCGTAACATCGCCGACTCATCCCGCGCCACGCCATGTATGTACCTTTCGTTACGCCCAAATTGCAAGCTCTTGCTCGTCGTAAAGGAGGCGGAGGCGGAGGTCGCAGTGGAGGCGGAAGCTCCAGTTCAGGCGGAAAGTCGGGAGGGAGCAGCAGCGGATCAGGAAGCAAAGGCAGCAGCGGAGGAAGTACCGGTGGAGGCAGCGGAACGTCGGGAGGGACCGGCAGCGGATCGGGAAGTAAAGGCAGTAGCGGAGGAAGCACCGGTGGAACGGCAGGGCGCACCAGTAGTGTTCCTCTGAGCGGAAGCTCAGCCAGTGGAAAGTCTTCAGCGACATCTTATGGTGCAGGCGGCGGCAAGTCCATCACGATTCCATCGGGACAGCTATTCTCAGGTCGTACAGTTGGAGGGGGGACGAGACAGCAAGTCGTCGGTACACGGTAACTATACACACCATTTATCTTGCATTCGTCTTGAATATTCACATGATGTCTTGCTTTTCTGACATCCAGGACATATGGAAGTGGATATCCTGGAATATCAGGTCGGGGTGTTACCGGCCGTGGCTTTCCCTTCTGGTTCTGGCCTGTTATATGGGGCGGCGCAGGGGCAGGTTCTGGTGCATATCTCGTAGACAGAGAAGTATGCTCACCTCTATTCACCAATGTCTATGAATCTTACCGTCCTTTCAAATAGTACGGTGACTCCACCAATACCAGCCGCGTAGGTGGCCCCATGGTAGAAGCTACCTTCGTCTCAAATAGCACCAACACGACATTCCACCTCCTCTCGGACAACAGCACCGTCTCGTCGCTCCTCACATCCATAGACTCCAACTGCTCCTCATCTCTCTCCTCGTCGAGTTCTACTTCTCCCGTGCCATTCAACCAGTCTGCGTCTGGGGTGCCCAAGCCTGAACAGGCCGTACAATATTATCGCGCGAGCAGCGTGGTCCTCACTCTTGATGGGTACAACAACTCGGCAACGCTTAGCAATGACACCAGTGCACCAGATTCGCCGCTGCCGTCTGGAATCGATACGACACTGTTGGACTGTCTAAATCAGACTATCTTACAGGCCGCGCCGCTGGTGGATGGTGCTGGTATGCGCTGGTCAGCACCGTCGAGTGCGGGGCTTGTCGGTTTGGTATGGGTCATGTGGTGTCTTTCGTCTTTGATATAACCTGTGTCTTCCTAAATCATTCCTTCAATGTTTCCGTCTCCTTTTATGAATGCTGTTGAGGACGAGAGTGCTCCTTCACAAAACACACATTTGTCGCAGAGGACTGTTTACACGTTCGGTTGATACCTTGTTCGCGTTATGACTCGACTATCGATGAATCCTTTCATGACTGCTTATCGAATATACGATACGATACCCCTTTACAGTTACTGCCATATTTTTACTTCACTGACTAATATCATAACCTAGTTAACCTAGTGCATCACATAGGTAAAGACAAACACATACTTCAATATGTGCACGATTATGCACTTCATGTTCCTACTCCTGATCTGACAGAGGCTCTGTGGTGTGCTGGTACGACTGAATGGTCCTTGTTGATTGTGGCGTAGACCAAACACAGGATGAGAAGTGATTTAACGCAGTGTGCGCTCGAGTTCTTAAAATAGTACAATTGACCGCTGATTGAAATAGCTCTGAGTTTTCGTTTGGCGCCCCTTCACGACTGGCTATGGTTATTTTATCCAGGAATCCGTCTCGATTGCTGTCTGATGATCTTCTCCGAGAAATCAGCGTCGTACATCATAATGAGCTTGAACAGGGAATCGATGAGCTAGTTACCGCTCGGCGCTCATCACTTACAGAAGAATCATTCAGCATGGACTGCAAACAGAATGAATCTCCGAGAAAACAACGGACAACGCAGCCTCACTCTAAGGACAGTAGCGTGTATGATGATTCATATCACTCAACAAGAAGTATGTTTTGAATGGCAAATGCAAGAGACGTCACTCACTGAGTACAATACCACTGTTATGATGTGCAGTTGGTCTATCAAGGAAGATTAGGAAGATCAGTATCCAAAGTAAGTTTCTGATATCTCGCCACTGCTTATCATCATGTCGCCCTACCCATTGGGGCGCTTTGACGGGTTGTCTGTTTGAGCGATCAGTACAGCTCCAATGATCACTTACTGCACAAAAAGCACCGCAGGCGATACCAAAACGATCATCGTAACTTGGACGTATTTTTGACTTCCATTGGACGGATGCTGGCTACGAGCCATGACCCTAGAAACAGTTCCGTGCAAGATAGAAGAAGCCAAGGGAACGTACCACTTGTCTGTGTATATGTATGTACTGTGCGTGATGCTTCCTGAGAGGGGCGTAACCAGACGACCGAAGAAAAACAATGCACGAATACCCCAGTTCCGCGTAGATCAAATTTGCGGAAAATGTCTCAAAAACACACCGAACATTGGAACTACCATTCTTGGAACAAGTACAAGGGTCAGGAAAGTCAGCGCCCATCACTGTGGTTGCGATGCTTTGAACACGTTAGACTTCTGCGCCTAGTTCCATTTAATGAGATCCCAAATTTTAATAGACTCGCTGTGAGATTTCCCCATTCCAAGCTAAAAGTTGAGATCATGATCGAGAAATAAGCTGTGAGGCCATCTGCCCGACTGAGAAAAGTCTGAGAAACGGCCTCGGGAAAAGCCAGTGTGCGGGCTGACCGCACCTAAGATACGATCCTAAGTAAAGGTGAGAGAGATTTCATTATGAGCCTAGCAAATGATTTTTGGGGCTGTATTCTCGTTGAATGACCGTGACGATCATGAGCATAGCAGGAACCGAGATAGCCAGCTACTTATCGGGGTCCGGCCGCGACAGTTCTTTGCTGCCATCACGGCATATGCATGGAGCTCACCAGCGCTCATGCGGACATTGCGGCTGAACTAGACGCTCTCGGGCTCCAAACTCGTAAGTCCCCTCCTTTTTCGGTCGACGCTGTAATAGCCCGTCCGCAACGTATCAATACCATTTCTGAGCCATAGAAAGTTTTACAACCAACGATGATGTCCTCGAGAGCCCTCGGGGAACAAATTTGAGAACAGGCCAGGCTTGAGTTCGTTCCAGGTGCATAACCGAGGTCTCGTTAACTCGCCAGCGGTATGGTTCTGATTCTGATACAAGTTGAGAACTTTGGACACGTGTACCTTCGATAGGTACCAGCAGGTGGACGTTTGCGTACAAGGCGATCCTTGTAAGGAAAGCTGAAGCTAGTTGCCAAATGCGTCCACAAGGGATTCGACAAAACGGTCACGCTTCCATACCAGAGACATCCGACACTCCAAGCTCATTATTAGAAAAGAAATACCCGGATATATGCCGTACCGCCCATATCAAATGTTCTCATCACCCAAATCAACAGGCGATGTGATGCACGTGATCGTGTACAGACCCGAGGCAGTGATCGGGGTCGGTGTATAACGGTATAGGACTGACGCCTTCTCGTGCTTTTTTCTGCCTGTGAACTTGGAAGTTCGGCGTGGTTCTCTGTCAGAAACAATATAAGGTAAGAGGGAACAATAGAGAGTTTTGTTCCCCCAGTCTCATCTCTTTTGTCTCCTGCTTTAGGGAGTCTTCCGACGAATCATATCCATTACCTATACTTTTCATCTATAGACATGCCTGCAATCCGGCTATCTCATCGTCGACGCTCCTCACTAGCTACATGTTAGTCGTCTTCATATCTTATCGATCCACCAGTTTTTCTAACCGTCCGGTTTTCCTTTTACTAGCAGCTTTTAATCCTGTCAAGGCCGGTATATACGGGATCCAGACATCGCCGCGAGCTGTCACCTTCGCACCCAATGTAACACCTGGGACGTACACCGAACCTGAGGCCTCAACGTCAGAATCGACGCCTGAACCTTCATCGCCTACCGCAAAACTGTTCCCCCCGTCGGAACTGCCTGCCCCCCCTTCACGCAGGCGGGTACCTCCGGGTAAACGTCGCTCACTGGGATACATCCCTCGTCCCCCCAATGCATTCATGCTTTTCCGTGCCGATTTCGTCCGCCAAAAGCATGTCCCTGGATCCATCGAGACCAACCACGGATCCTTGTCAAAAATCATCGGTACGTTCTACTTTTATCTTTTCTCACAGTCCTGGGAGTTGACTGTTGCTCTGCCAGGCAACTGCTGGAGATCTCTCCCGTTGAACGAAAAGAGGGATTGGGAAATCAAAGCCAAGCATGCCAAAGCTGAGCACAAAGCTCGATACCCAGAGTATCGATTCCGCCCCGTCCACAACAAGAATAAGGACAAGAAGAAGGAGAAGGCCACCCCCACCGTGGAGGATGAACGACGATGCGAAGAGGTTGCTCAGCTCCTCCTTGAAGGCAAGAAAGGCGATGAGCTTGCCGAAGCTATCCGAAGCCTTGACCAGAGAAAAGTTGAGGCTCCCGCCCCAATATACTATCACCGTCGTTCGTCGTCAGTCCCGCTCCCCGAGTCGCGATTCAATCCTATCGCTCTTCCGTCTTTGCCTTTCTTGGCGCTTTCAAGGCCCGACTCGCCTGTAGGCAATATCTCGCGCTCCACTAGGATGGTGCTTGGGCAACGACGTGCGTCAAGTGCTCGCCCGGCCGTTACTCGCCAATGGAGTAACTTCTCCTGGGGTGCTCCTACACCTTCAACTTTGCCGCGAGATGAATCTCCTCTTCCTGAGGTGGACACTAGCCTGTTCGAGCCTGGGTTTCTCGACTCGAACTTCTCTTTCTCCAACTCACAAACCGATCCTCCCTTCGTGAGTATACTTGTAAAATTATCTTTGGTTCATAACTAACTGGTTGAATGCAGAACTTCAATGACTTATTTGCCAATCTTCCTCCTCATGCGCAGTCGCACAACGATATAGGCATTTCACCTTTAGACAACATGGCCGCTCACGGATTTTCCATGCCCGACGCCAATGCACTGAACTGCAACAATGATATGTCCAGCTTCCACCCAGACAACATGTCCTCCTGGATGCCCAACGGACTGACACATTCCCAGCCGTCCTCTGCATACTCGGGATCGCCTGCGCACTCTGATATGTCGTTGCCTGTCGTCGCACCACAGCCCCAGCACGCAAAAGTCCAAGAACAATTTGATTTCTGGAAGGAGATGGGCACGTTCCCAGGCATGCAACAGCAGGGACAGCAAGCCGATTTCGGCATGGGTCTCAACGCAGTGCATGGCCAACAGATCTGTGGTGGCGCGGATCCTGCCATTGATCTGGCTCATTATGCAACTGGCCTGGAGACACTGTTCGACAATTCGTTCTGTGGGATCGATCCGAACAGTGGTGTGGCCGTGGGTTTCGAGTTCAACGAGATGCATCACGAGTTTTGATGATCGTGTTTGGTTACTTTTTCTCTCCTTGCTACTCGCATCTTTAATCGTTTCTCATGATTTAATCAACCATTGTCCATCATATGGAGTTACCCCCTTGGCATATCACTGTATGTATAATTACCTTATACCTTTCACACAGGTAGCCACCTGTTGTCTTTTTTCTCATTTCTATTAATCATTCTCGGATTTTCTTGGATTGTGTTCGTCACTCCCTGTGTAGCCTTATATCTCGCTCTTGATACTATTTGTAGCCCATACCTTGGATTGTCCCTGTTTTATATATCATGACTTTGTGATCTCCGTGCGGTGTTTTCGCGAAGATGTTGGTCAGAACGATTTTCAGTGCCTAGCATTCAGGCTGTCAGTCAGTGGTTAGTAGTAGTTGTGGGAAAATGTTTGTCGGGGGTCATGTGATTACGCCCTGGCAAAACCAAAGACTTGGATCGGTTCTTCTGTTGAAACAGTATCATGATCATGATCACATCTGGCCTCTGGCCTGCAGAATGTGCACCTCTTTTTAGACCAACCTTTTAGTTGCAGCCGTTTCTGCATACGGCATGGGCCATATTGCTCACCGCGTACCCACTGAGCTTGTAATATTAGCTTCTTAACGAACGTGGATGCGGTGAGTCTGTCATACTTATTTATGGACATGATACCATAGCTCGCTTCAGGTCGTGCTTTTCCACCATTGCGCATATATGCATATATGCACCCTTGGAACTTGAAATAGCAATGTTCACAGTGAAAATTCTAACAAATATTTGCCTCTCACAGCAACCACTGGCGCTTTCGCCGTGTTATGATGTAGACCCCATCATTCCAGGTGCGTGGCAGTATGTGCGCGGGATGATATGATATACATAGCGCCATCTTCAAGTTTTTGCGCTATGCTATGTCGTAGCACTGGTTTGGCACGAAGCCTCTTTCCCGGTTGATATTCTGATCGCTATGAAAATCGTCCACGAATCCGAGCTATAGATACTTGCTATGCTATTAGTCTGTGTCGACTTGGCTAATGCAATTTATTTCATCTACTTTCAGCCTCATCTTTATGTCAGCAAGTCTAGCTCGGTCGTCCAGCACTTCCTGTCCAGTTCGTGCAAACGATATCTCATTATCTTTGTGTAGATATTTGGACCTCTGAGCGCTGAGCCGGCATACTAATAGGCTTTGACAGTTTCACAGCCCACTCGTAAATAGTATAGCTCCATGCAAACGAAAAAACTTGTGGCGTTCATCTATTGATCATACCGAAATCCATTTCAGAGAGGACGTTTTGATCCTGCCTTTGATTGAACTCACCTGTAATCACCTCAGTTGCGTGTGCATCCACTATCCTCTACTTAGGTGAGTGACCATCTCCGCTAATAATACTTAATGGAATCATGCCTCGGAAAATTAGAGAGGTTATCCCAAAGATATCTACTACAATGCTGGATACGCTTACAGGTATATCTCTTACAGTACCACACGCTCTCGAAACTTCCTACGGCGCTGTTCTAAATAGCGTTCTGGTTACTGTTAGGTGAGAATTATTTTGTGATTCTGTGCATGCTACTCAAACACATTCTTTCTTATCAGCCTTTTCGGCGTCACAAATTTACAAGTAGTCAGTCAACTATATCCAGACACATTGCAAGTATGACCATGTTGCGTATAGAGGAATAGTAAGTTGCGCACTTGGAAGGATGTCGCCAATTGATAACATAGGGTTTCGATATAACTTGAGATGCTTTTTATTATACCTTGATTTTTAGGTCATTGGAAGCGGCTCGCATGGCCTTTATTTCTCATATGTTGTACCACTACCTTATACTAAACTTCGGGAACACTGCGGATCTCTCGATCGTTATTTGGAGCTTCAAAGTAAGCTCTGGTCTCATAAGTGCCATAGACGGTGTTGATTTGATTTAAATAGTGACAGGCACAAATTTTAATTGGTGTCAGTCAAACCTTGTAACAAACTTGACGCTTGTTAGAATGTTTACCGTTATGATAGGTGCCCATTGTTACCACTGTGCATTGGTACTCTATGTTTAAAACACAATCCATCCCGTCTCAGCTACTAACACACTAGTAACAGCCTTTATATTCATCGCCTCTCAGTCTATGTTTATAGGCTGTCTATTTGTCAATTGGTTTAGGTATATTTTTCTGTAATATCCTATTTCTTCAACCAGGATCTAAGTAACACCTTTCTAGGCCTTGGCATTAGAATAGTGAGCATACCATATCTTCAAAATTTCATCTGCTCCATGATTTCTTAGGCTAATTTCGATTTCTTTGAGTCGAATGTTATTTTCTGTGAGTTTCCAATATTTTTTTCAAGGAGCCTGATTTAGTCCCAACCATTGTTTCCATCAAATAACGCTGCCCATCTATATTGCTGACATATTATCCAGTTTTCGGTCTCATTCATTTGCAGCACTTGCAGGTATGTATCTATTGCTGAACAGATTTTCACTTAGCTGACCGACTACGAACAATATATTGGGTCATCAACAAATTTATCTTTCTTATCCTTGATCATTACATGCGTACATTACTGGAATAGTGGATGATGATCACTGTGTTGTCTGTGATGGCCTCCATTGATTTCCTCCTTGCGGCGGCCATGTGCTATATGCTGGACAAATCTCGAGCTGGATTTTCAAGGCATGTTATTATCAAAGTCTACAACAGTTTACTTAATTTATTAATCACTATGGGTCATAGAACAAATGTAGTTATCAAGAAAATTATTCTCTATGTATGTGGTAGTGGTTGCGTCACAAGGTGATCCTTTCTTTAAGACAGCATTCGTGGCACTCATTCTCAGGACTGACCACTTTCTGCTCCATTGCTACAATTATCACGGTGCGCTCGCTCGCTTCACTGATCAGAACTGGCCATTACATCTCAAACAGAGTGTGGTGATGCCAAGTAACATCGTATTTTTGGGATTCGAGCTCACATTGTTAGAGCGTACGCACTTTATCTCAGTGATCTGATATTTGCTGAACGTTTCGCAGTTTACGTGAATTCATTCCTTGCACTTCTCAATGCACGCAATATCACACAGCCTGTGGAAGACAGGAAGCTGTCTACTATAAAGTGACTTCCCAACTGATCAGAAAGGGATTAGACGAAGAGAATCGGACGAACTTTGAAGTGCCAGCCCAAAATTCACAGCAGGTGCTCCGCATCGATGTCTTATCCGTAACAATACTGTATTGATCCATCTTAATGAGCCCGACGAAATCTTGCTTCAATAACAGGATAGTCCAGTCTCCATCTTGGTGCCATAATTATATAGCATAATGTGGCTGATGAGATCCACCAATTAGAGTGGCTATGTGCAATGAGTCGTGTAGCTATGTATAGCGACCACTGATGGTGATAGTGACACGTCTGCCATTTCACTCACTGTCTTCGGTCCTTTCCAATAGTTTAGCAAGCGTCTTCGAGGTACTCTTGGCATGCCTTTTCTCTTTCTTTGATATAATGTGTAATGTAATCAGTCCAAAATATGATTTTATGAATCCTTTTGTAGCCAGAGTCAGGATTGTTCTCGTTTCGTATATTGTCATAATGCAGTGTTATGATTTACATCAGCCTTGATGAGAATGTCTGGTATCATTGTTTGCCTAACGAACATAATTAATCGTAAACAGCTGTCGTGTGGTCGTGTCCTCGTTGGTAGTCGTCAAGTCCGAACTCTTCGTTATCTTTGCTACACAATAGGTCGCCTGTCCTCGACGGGGCCCCCACACGGTAATTTTATGAGGGCATGTCATCCTGTCCAGCTATTGCTGACCCTATTGAGCCATCTAACATGGCTCTATTCTAGCCATTAATACAACATCCTGGGGGAATAATGCGCACATACCGTTCGCTGTGATCCAGCCCCGCCAGTATTACATTTAATGTCTCCTGGACAGTTTTCATGTAGTCAAGTGTGGATCTTGCTTGATCCAATACGCAAGACCATTCGAGAATGGCCGTACATGAGACATTTAAAGTAGCCCATTCTCGCCTCCCTACTTTTCGAGGTGGTGGCTTGTCCTGCAGAGCCTGCTCCGCAGCTCTCTGTGGCTTCTCAGGGGGTGAAGCTGGGAAAGGTACGCGAGATTTATCCACCTTTTCCCTCGACTCCGCACTACACCTCAGCTGCTCTGTGAGAGAGGCTACTTGCGCGGCAAGATCTTCTACATCTCGAAACCGAGCTTGCTGAGCAGCGCGAAGTTCCTCCTCAAGTTCTTGCATACGTGATAGACGTTCTTTTGCAGCGTTCTCAGCCGATGCGACTTGCAAACGAAGCATGGTAACGGTCCCTGAATCGGAGGAATGTGAGTCGTTGGAAGTTTGAAAGAGTCGCGAATCGGTCTGTATGGCTGGAGAGGGAGTCACGTTAGGGAGGAAAACTTGAGATATAGACTCGTAGCCTCCTGGGGTGTTCATTGCTCTGAGACTGGGGCTTTCTCCCAGGCCAAGGGGATTGACAAAGTTCGTGGTTGTCGGAGAAGGCGCCCCTAGAGTGAATGGTGCAGGAATATCTCCAAGTATGTTCTCCATCTCCCCATGATCCAGTATGTGCAAGCTGTCATTAGCGAATTGCTCCCAAGGTAAGATCGACCCACGGTTGGCGGGTGCACCAAGGTCGGTCGTTAGGTATGGTGCTTTTCCAGAACGAGGATGAACAGGTGACATGTACGAGAGGCTGGCGCGAGTAGGTAAGCGAGAAGGGGTCTGAAGATTATTTCCCTGGCCCTTGCGAGGACTCTGAGTACCAGTCCTCGCCGGCGTTGGCGTTGGAGGCGCTAAAAGAAGTTCGACCTCATCGACCTCGATGCTATCGTCGCTGCTACGTTGCAAAGCCGCAGATCCATGTCTGGAGTGGTGTGCAAGTGGAGACTCTGGGGGTGCGCGGGCAGAAGAGCGCGTAGTAATGGGCGCTCGAGGCTGTTGCTTTGGACGATGGAAGCCAAATGTAGTTTGGGAGGAGGACGCTTTGGGTGAGCGTCGTGCACGTGTGGTGCTCGCTGCAGACAAAGACGACGACGAACGGACTGAAGCCTGTGATGCAGATGGCGGGACTGCTAACTTTGCTGTTTTCGTGGAATTGAGGTTCGTTAAAGGAGTCTTGGGCTTTAGCTTTGACTTTGACGAGAACATGGTGCTGCAATTTGGTTAAGGTGCAAACCTGCACACGACTTCGCCGCTGTAGACTGCAACGAACCATAGCTTACTCAGCACGTCACGTGTCGGACGCGTGTAGATCCCATGATCACACTCTTTCTTTCTTTCTTTCTTCTCTGTGCTCGCAGTAAAGCATGATATATGTTGCTAACCTCTGACATATTGTTTACCGGCCTTTACATACTTGTAGCGTACAATCAGTTGGTGTGTGTCCTTCCCCTCATTTTCGATTAGACGTGTGCTTATCTATCAGTGGTATCCCAGAAAGGCAACGAGCAAACTATAGGCGATCGCAAGAAACGAGATTGACCAACTAGCTACGGGAATACGGCGTCTCACCTTTCCTGTGGAGTGAGAGATCAGGCCGAGCTCATGCTGTCAGCTTTGTGATTATCTATGTATTGTGATGCACATCTGATAAGACCCCTTGCAGAATTAATGCACGGCGATCAAAGGGACACCATATACCCACCTGCACGATATTCATAGGCATAGTTCAGACATTTCATGATCATCATTTACTGTGTAAATGATCTTACCGCCGTTTGATTGGACTTCAAGGCTCTCGACACCCGCAAATATACATCACAGGTCATAACCGACGTCCATGACAATCTTCGTTAACGGTAAATATAGTCCATATTTTGTCCTGGGTATTATAATGAGAAATAACAAATTATTCCACCGCTTTGTACACCACAGACACACAGTAACTCCCTAAAGGGCTAACACGCTGGTGGTGCTTTTGCGTAAGTGTATGCTGGTAATGCCTCTGCCGAACCAGAGGTACGATTTCTAGCCGTATCGTTCGAAGTGCCAACCCGCTGTACCCACTGTGACTCATCATTCATCATCCTATTCGTTTGATAGCTTCTGAAGCGACCATCGAGCTTCTCGAACGTCCACTGGCGTTGTTGTTCCGCAAATATGGACCCGTTGTTAGTAATTGGTTGCGATAGGTGCTGCGACTCGGAAACTGAGGGTCGGATGACAGACAATGAAGCAAACGACTCGTTGCTGTCCCTCACTGAAGGCGTACCCGCTGTGCGCAGTCCGAACTTCAGAGCGAGGTCTGGCGAGGGAGAACTGGTGGGCACTGGCTCTCCGCTGTAGTGGTAGGGGAAAAGCGTCGTAGGTGGTTTCCGGCGGCGATACCAGAGGAATAAGAAGAGCAGGATTACGATGGAGGACACACCACCGACTGTTGCGCCTACTATCGTTTTTGTTTGAGCTAGGTCAAGAGCATGCGGTGTCGATGCCGCTGCAACTGATGGCGTAGCTGTCACGGTTACCGTTGCTACAGTTGCCAATGCATCTGTGATCAATGCCACCGAAGATGTCACAGGGGTGGACGTTGAAGATGAGATGTTTATCGGCACTATGGTCGGCACTACCGTTGTGGATTGGCTTTGCGTTGTTCCCACCGGTGCGGGGGTGGGGGAAGAAGCAGTCTGGTCATCGCGGCAGCTTCGAGGACACGAACTCGTAGTCTCCTTGATCGATGACGAGGAGGACTGTGAGCTGTATGAAGAGGTGGTATGGGGTATATGCGAAGTTGTGGGTGGAGACGAAGGAGACGAAAAGGAAGGCAATAGAGGAGAGTGGGAAGATACTGGAGACACCGATGTTGATGTAGACAGTGAAAATGAAGAAGAGGAGTGAGACAATGTAGACGACGAGGTCGATGAAAACGGCTTAGAGGACGAAGACGAGGAAGACATCTGCGACCTGTGCGACGATGAGGAGATAGAAGAAGCAGTGGATGGTGCCAACGATGTGGATTTCGACGACGACGTTGTAGAGGTTTTCGACGAGGATGAACTGGAGCTCGTCGTGCACTCGCCGTAACTCACGGAATCGACGACAATACTCCAGCCGGCGGCCTGCAACTTGATGACAAGATTGTTATCCTTAAAATACCAGCTAAGCACCTCGTAAAGCAGGTTACTGATGGAAGGAGGGAAGGTCCCATTATGGTCGAAAGACCCGCCGTCAGAGGTGTATGAAAACAGGAGACTGAAGGGATTGGGCGGTAGGTCCCCTAACTGGATCGTACCATTCACTGTTGTGCCGCATCCTGCACATGGAAAATACCACCATGGGGCTCAGTTAGTACCCATGTCTGGTCATGATAATGCAACTGACCCTTGAATGCGATTTGAAGTTCGGAGCCTGCGACGCAAGATTTATGCCCTTTACTAGTGTGTGTCCAATTTCCGACCCATTCGAAGGGTGAACCGAGTTCGTGCCCAGAGGTAATAGGTAAGTCCCTGGGACGTAGTGAATTTCCTCGAGAATGTAAACGAACGTGCAGTGGTGAGCGAGTGTGGACGGGATGCATAATCCCTGGCATTCCCAAAAAGAAAAGAGAAAGAAAAAAAAAAGAAACCGTAGAAGGAGTGTGTTATTACCCAGGAGACTTGAAAGAGTGCTGGTCGTCTCAGGTATATAATCGATAGCGGAGGGAAATAAGCAACCATCAGTATATGAGCATCCATACTCACGGTAGCATCATGATGAAGATGGTGATGTGGACCGTTCAGGTTTGGAGGGCCGACAGGAGAGTGATTAGCCCCTGGCTGTGCTTGAGAGCTATGTTGGCCTCATCATTCGTACTCGTAGGGCACTACGAACTGATCTCAAGATTTCTTTACCCTCCAGTGGGCTGATGCGACTTACTATGATTGTTTCAGTTACACCTGCGGTTTGTCCCTAATGTTTGATAGAAAACACAATGTCCGTCCAATTAAAAAAACACACGTCCCATCATCGTACTGCAAATATTGTCTTGTGTGAACCTTCCATAGACTTCAAAGATGCAGATAGCGTGTTCGAAAGTCACAAACTGTCCAAAATACAACCTATGCGACTGGATATCAGGAATAAAGCTGAACACATCACTGTAAAACTGTAGAGGTGCAGATATTTCGCGCAGAAAGTTATCACTTAACTCAGAAGACCCAACTAATTTCAAGTAAAGGAGCAGGCCCAGCAGCACAAGTCATGGTCTCGACATTGGATCATCAACCTTGAGGGTGCTTGAGCGATCTGGAGCAGTGACGACCATAGAATTCATCCAAGTACCGGCTGGATGCCAATGCTCAAGTCCGAGAGTAGGCAGGAGGGGTCTCATCCGAACCCTCGGTACTTCCTCCAGCCTGCACGGACTGCTCGTTCCACCTCTGACTACTTCGAATTCGAGAACGAGGATGAAGCTTTTCAACCAACTCTGCTTGATTACGCGCAATCACAATGATGTCATCCATAGATGATAATGGCGTATCGTGGGAGTGAAGAATCGACGATAGGTCATCGGAGACAACGGGGTGACTCGGGGCGACGTCAGAATTCGCGTTCGATACGTGTTTGAATCCGGAAACATTGCAGGGCAAAATGGTGTCAGATTCAAGGGTCGAAGGGTGGTGATATGTATATGGTACTGGAATTATCTCGCTCTTGGCAGAGTTTCGGCGACATCGAAAGAGAACAAAGATGAGTCCAGCAAGGATAATCACTCCGCCTACAACCGCTCCAATGATTATGTAAGTGAGAGGAGAGTGACCATGGGATGAACTAGGAAGGGGGGACGAGTATGATGTTGATAAACTTGAGCTATGACTTGACGAGCTGGGTGGTATAAACGCGGTGGTGGCGCTACTTTTGATTACGTTGGTGGACTGCGAATCGGTCGGCATCGGCGAGGAGATAGGTGGGTATGCGGGGGTCTGAGGTCCCGGCTGCGACGCTAACGGAAAATAAGTGGATTCGGGCACCAGAGTGGTTGTAGACGAGGATGTGGTGTACTCAGACGCTGTCGTCGACGTTGACGCTAACGGTAACGATAAAAGGGGATCGGATGTATCAATACCAGTAGGCCCAGGTCCAAAAACTATCTCAGTCGTCCACGCCGTAGAACTAGCTTGAATGATAGGCCCTATTATGCCTACAGATTCCCCCAACAACATGGGCTCAGATGCTTTCATTGTCGGTTGCCTTGCCTCTAGTACTTTAGCAGACGAGCCCGTCACACCTTGATATTCTTCAACAAATTGGGCGGAGATGGATGACTGAGAATGCAAAGGTGGAGGAACCCAAGTAAACGAAGTGGTACGGTTATTGCGTGAAGATTGGTACTGAAAGAGCTCAAGAGAGAAAAGGCTCTCATCGCTGTCCACGGTGATATTGAGCTCATGTGGCGAAAACAAAAGATCGGATGCCGCATAGAGAGGGAAGCTACAAAGTGCGGAATCGGTGATTGGCGATGTGAAAGTCGTCGAAGATGTGCCATCCAATATAAAGGTGGAGATTGCAGGACCATACTTTCCCGTGGGCCAGATAGTACCCAGTACTTTGATGCTACTTCCTTTATAACAATGGCATATTTAGTGAACAAGAACGTAGGGTAACACAGTCTGAGTATATTTACCAGTAAATTTTACAGAAATCGTTGATCCTTTGGTACTCGAAATGAGTGTGGTGATTAAGGCAGAGGCAGAACCACCCGGGACACTGATAGTCCAGTTTCCATGGTAGTGTAGCTGAGGAAAACTGCTACTCTTACCATTCATCGTAGGAGAATCAGAGCCCTCCAACTGAATTCGAAGCTTTGAAATGAGCGGATTGATTTAGACAAGTGTGAAACGAACAGCACAATCTGTTCACTAGAACCTAAGGAGTGTGAGTGATTGGAGACATTAGCAAAACATCTCGCCTCCAAACTTATATATGAGATATCCATTCATCGCCAAATCACGAAAAGATCATCAAGTGATACTTATCTGAAATAGGGAGAAATTGAGAAATGAATGTGACGTTTTATCGGAATGTCATTGTGATGATCAGAAGATGTATGTAGTATAGGTGCTTTACTTGCAACGTTTCAATACCAAAAAGTTCCAGATTAACGCTCGTTGGAAGAAAAGAAGTCGGACGTTGCCGGATTTGTGTTGGGCTGGGCAGCAGGAAAGAAATTATACACTCCACGTCAGAGCGTAACTTTAGGAGAATATTGTATCATCTATTTAGTGCTATAGCACTTATAATTAACTGTGAAGATCTAAACATTAAGCATGAATAACTGGGACAATAAGTCTTGGATACTGACCATGTCCTCCTATATTAGGTCGTTGTATCTAACATCGATGTATAAGAACGAACCTGAGAACCGGAAGTATCCAGAAACGAGTATTTGATCAGGACAGGAGGATCGTCACGTTTCGAAGTTGCAGTATTTTTGATATCTATCGTTCCCACGGCCACTTCCATTAGGGGTAATAAAGTTTCTTTGCAAGTGTCAAGTAGTAGTGCACTCTTTGCGAATACAGCAACATAATTATCCACGATAAAGCTTGAAATAAACTCAGAGCTCAACGGTAAAAGGACAGAACTGGTGAATGACGACTAGCAAAATGAGACGGCATCGTGGTTATCTGATGCAGTGTCCGTGAAAGCAACTGACAGGTTGACATCATCAACGGATGTCCGAAAGAAGGTCGCACCAGGAAGTGCGGGTGAACCTCTGTTGATTGTAGTGAGGTTTCAAAGAAACATGAAGCACTGCCGTATACCACAGAGTTCACACCATCAAGTATCCGATGATAGAAGCTTTCCATTCCGTCCGAGTGTAGCAACTGCATTCGATACACCTGATGTACATCTATTAGTCCATACCGCTCTTAAAAAATTGAAGAAATCTGACAGTTGAAAGTCCTACACATATCTAAAGTCGAAAGCCTAGCTCGGAGAAATAAGCAGGAAGGGTCAGATGTGATTCGTCACTATTGTCCAGTGACCGCGTAGTGTAAGACCTGTGCGTCCTTGCACTGGTACGCTTGCTTTCTACGCCGGGATTAACTCCCACATTCAAACTCTTATGTCCACGTGAGGCGGGAACAAGCTCGGGCGTCAGTGGTGACGGCGCACGCTGAATTTGTGGTATCGGAGAGGGAGGACCATAAGACGACATGGGAGGATCTGAAAGAATGGCATAGTTCCCTTCTGACACATGTCCGAGTCCTGGGATATTAGATAATGTAAGCATATTGGAACCAAAACTATTTGAATGATGTCGGTTGTGAGATGTCGGCGCCCTCGAGGCATGTTTTCGATGGCAACGAAAGAGAATGAAGGCAAGTGCAGCCACAAGAAGGACTCCACCAATGACAGCTCCGATAATGATACCAACGGCAAGTGCATGATGGCTAGATGCTGACACCATAGAAGATGAGGATGAAGCTGGAGGTGTCTTTGAACCAGAAACTACTGAGCTACCAGTTTTACTACTCGGTAAGGTAGTTTGAAGGGTTCTGGATGGCTCTGCTGAGCTCGGGATATCCTTTGCCGAAACTAACGATGCGGATGATATTGAAGGTGTTGTCAACCAAGAAGTCGGTGTTGTCCTTATTGTTGATGTGTGTGAAGTGGGGGGTGCCTTCAAGAGAGTTCGAGTGGTTATTGATGTATTCGTCAGCGAGTGAGATAGTGTGGAGGATGTCGGAAAAGCAGGTGTCGTTGTTGAGGAGGTTATTGAATATCCGTTAGTTAGCGTGTAGGACGTTGACGATTCTGAAGTTGTCGTCGCCGGAATTATTGGCGACGGACGCAGGTGCGACGATGATGTATATGGCACGGAGGGTGTGGAGGAGCTCGGAGTCCCTGCTGTTGGATTTTGTCAATGAAGGGTATGTTGCGGAAGATGATAACATACTGTAGGTCCCGGTTGTTGGACTTGTGGATCCGTATGTCAAGGGATTCGACGAATGGACTACGGGATGTGAACTAATGGTATCCTTTGATACGCTCTCTGTATCCTATACTCAGTTTTGAACCACATTTGAGGTATTATGGTGTATACCACTTGATTTCATTGTCCCTTTCGCACTAGACGTGGACGATTGAGGTGACCTGGTCCATAAACCAACAACTGTAGTCATAGCTCTGATGATTGTACTTGTCGGGCTTGTGCCGTCAGACGATGCTGAATAAAACGTGGCGGTAATTGTATTTTTGTAGGACGTATGAGACGTGCTTGTCAGATGGTGCCTAAGGAGCGCGAGTGTTGAAAGAGAACATGTTTTTCAAAGCTTCCGAATTATATGCAAGGAGCTTTGATTATCAAGAAACTCAGCCAAAGGGCGGGGAGGTGACGAAAGTTGCAGAAAAGATCATCAAACCTGTGTCATGTGTAAGTGGCGAGTGGGGTGATGCTGAGAGATCTTTTGCACTGGAAGAATTGCTGTGCGTGATCCTCGAGTGGTCATTATGTTCTTCACCATAAGGCTCAGCTGGGGAAGTATGGTGGTTAGAGACGGACTTACCTGGGAATAGGAAGCCACACGAAGCGTTTAATATTGACGCTCGGTGGCACCCCAAATCGGAGGAAGGAAGGGGCCTGGGGTCTCGTGCAGTGCTTTCAGGAAAGTATGCGCTAACTCGCACGATGGTTGGATAGGATCACAAAATCTGTAATTAGTACTACATGCGAGAATCTATTTGGAAGTATACACAGGTTCCTCAGTATTACTCAGAGATTGTGCGTGTGACTGGTTCGTCTCATCCCCTCCTTCCTTCCGGACTGGAATAGAAAGGTGCGTTGAAGCTCTCAATCCTTTGTCGCATTTGAAAAATCTCAAGCATTGATAGTGGGGGTGTATTTGGGATATCGGGGAGGGTGTAGGGTAGGGCACAAGAGTTAATGGGGGAATCTGATATTAAGTCATAGTGTTTGTCTGCTGCGTGCCCGTCGTTTCTAAGGATACTCGAACGGTGGTTGATGTAGGGCTTCATCGTACTAGATGTTTTCCGTCTTAACCGAACGATGATGAATACCAGTATGGCAACAAGGACGAGTCCGCCTATGACGGACCCAACAAGTATGCCAGTGAGACTCGAGCGATGGGCTCCAGGCGCTGAGAGAGCAGGTGGAGGAGATGGACTAGAGCTCGAGGGATGGCTCCCGGTCGTCGAGAAAGCAGATGGAGATGGACCAGAGCTCATAGTATAACCTCCATTCGAGAAATTTCCCACTAATGGTTTCCCTTCTAACGTGTTCGTTGGTAAACTGGGGGGGAGGAGGCCCGTTGTCGGTGGAGAAAGATATGCCATGCTCCCGTGGAGCATACGTGAATTCAAGGCATCATCCTCACCCAATTGCGTTGGGGACAGTGCGGTTGAGCCAGAAGGACTCGTTAGAGACTGAGATGAGGTGGAGGGCATTTCAGAGGAAGACGCTGTCCTAGTCATCGTCGTTATTGGAGAAGACATGGAAGATATTGACAGGGTAGGAGTCTCTGTTTGATGTGATGACTTCGGTGGTGACAGCATAGTAGATGTATGCAGGGTCACAAAGGGAATAGTATTGGTTGGAACTAGTATCGATGAGGGGGACGGTGTGGAAAGCACTGGAAACCCCGTCGATTGGGGTGGACTCACAGATGCTGTAGTGGACAGCAAGGCTCCAGTGCTCCAAGAGGGTTGACTCGATTCTGATGACGTCTGTCCTTGCAGTTCTATAACAAAAGCATATTAAGCTCAGCATTATACGAATTGATCTTTTTGCTACCCATTACCTGGTATTTCAGGGACTGTTAAGTGAGTGAAAATGAATGGAGTGGGTAATAGCACAATTTGAGTAGTTGTCCAGACTGTAGCGATATCCTGAGGCGAACGAGCGTAGAAAGGGTGTGCCATCCTTGTCAGATAGCACACAGGCAGCTTAGATTGATAGATGGTGCTTTGACAAGTTATATACCAGCCATTCGATTATCAGCAGGCCCAGGCCAAAGGTGGGCGATTGACGACCGTCAAATGATATATCACCATCTTTAGATTAGATGCGAGCGACCGATGCCAGGAAAAGCGCTACCCAAAAAATGATGTTAACGCGCCGTGCACTTTGACCATTTCATTTCATCCCTTCGAGCATTCTTTTCCCCGTCGCGTGATGACACCTAAAAAGCATCAAAATAGGATAAATAATAAATAAAATATTGACTTGGATTGAAAGCCTACCTTGGCAAGATCTGATACTTTTCAGGTTCTGGCGTCAATCAAATCAGTACTTGATAGGTTCTCAAAGAACAGAATCACTCCAGTTTCCTTGATAGTGTACTTGGACATGGGTGCCATCGACCGTGACAGACTAAGAAAAGAAAGTCTTCCACGAAAGAAGTGTAAAAACCGGCTTTGTTCGATTGTTGTATGGGACAAAATGGATCACTATAGACCAGCTCCAAGACTGTCTAAGCTATATATACGTGTGTTTATTTATCATCAGTAACGGTAAGGTCCACAAATGATACGACGCTGATGAACATTACCAACAGTATACGTCGGCCAAACTCAAGTTGCGGACTGACCTGGGTCTGATTGCAGCACGAGACACGAATTTACAAGCCAAATTATCAGCCGCTTCCCACAGTCACGAGCGTCACATACGCAGTTGCAGTCACGAGCGCGTGAGTCACGTGTAGTAATTTTTCTCGTCACGCGACTCGAGTCAAGAAAAGTCGGTCGTTCTCCGAGTGCAATAATCTAATCGATCCAGCACAGAAAATCAACAACAGCTGTGGCGCGTCTCATCAAACCTCTCCGTTTCTTTTCTTCTCCCCTCCGCCCCTTCCCCACATATCCTTTCCTAACAAAATTCACAAGAAACATGGCTTCGCTACCACCATTGCCCAGCGTACCGGGGACAGACCCCTCAGCATGTATCCTGGACGCATTTCGAACAGCAATCGCACAGCGTGTGTCTGATGCGTTACCCCCACTCACCCTCGAACAAGCCTACTCAGGTGTTGATTATGGGAAAAAAGGCGTCGATTTTACCGTCGCACTACCCCGATTTAGGCTACCAGGGAAAGTGGACGAACTGGCGAGTAAAGTGATTAGCAATGTGAGTTTTCATATCTGCAGTTATTATGCGGTCTCGAACAAGGCAACATTCGGAGATTATCGTAAATACGGTAGAAACATTCTGAATGGCACTGTTGTAACATTCATATCCCCAAGCGTTTTGTTGCTGATAGAGGATGTTTTCCAGAGCGCTAATATCTATACCTTTCTTGTAGTTCCAACCTGATGAATACGTCGCCTCTGTAACCCACGATAAGGCATTCCTCCATTTCCAACTAAACACCTCAAATCTTATTCGAGGAGTCCTTCACCAAGTATACGATCATACAGCCAACAAACCAGAAGGAAAATCCACCTACGGTACTAACACCTCTGGCAAGGGCAAGAAACTCGTCATCGAGTACTCTTCCCCAAATATCGCTAAATCATTCCACGTCGGCCATCTTCGAAGTACGATCATTGGTGCTTTTTTGGCAAATCTGTACAAAGCTTGTGGGTGGGACGTCGTGTCTTTGAATTATTTGGGTGATTGGGGTACCCAAGTAAGTGACATAGTTATCTAGGTACAAATCTCATATTCTTATCGAACCGTCCATTTTAAAAGTTCGGTATGATAGCCACAGGATTCGAAAAATACGGCTCTCAAGAGCAGCTTGAAAAGGATGCGATCAAGCATCTATACGACGTCTACGTCCAAGTCAACAAAGACGCCGAGTCAGATCCATCCGTAAAAGTCCAAGCTGCAGGTTGGTTTAGACGGATGGAAGACGGCGACGAATCGGCGCTCGTCAACTGGCGAGTATGGCGAGAGCTCAGTGTGAAGAAGTATATCGAAGAGTATGACCGACTGAACGTCGCGTTCGACGTCTACACGGGAGAGAGTGATGTGGGTAAGGACTGGCAGGATAAAGCGCTCCAGCGACTGGACGAGATGGGCTTGATCTCCGATGAAAAAGGCGCCAAGTTGGTCAACTTGGAGAAGTGGAAATTAGGTCGAGCAATCTTAAGGAAGGCCGGTCAGTCCGCATTACATAAAGCTCGTTCACATTTAGTCTGACCCAGCCCTTTCTATCCTTATAGATGGCACATCGATATACCTTACTCGAGACATTGGCGGAGCTATCGAGCGATATGAGAAGTTCAACTTCGACAAGTCAATATACGTAGTCTCTTCCCAACAAGATCTCCACATCGCACAATTTTTCAAGATTCTTAAGCTCATGGAATTCCCCTGGGCAGATCGACTCGAGCACGTTAACTACGGGCTCGTTCAAGGCATGAGCACTCGAAAAGGAACCGCCGTGTTCTTGGATCAAATCATTCGGGAAGCACAGAGTGTCATGCATGACCAGATGAAGAGGAATGAAGAGAAATATAACGCTATAGAAGACCCAGAGACTACCAGCCGAGAAGTTGGAATCACGGGTGTCAAAATCCAAGACATGGCTGCCAAAAGGTGAGTCTCTTCCCAACCGAATCCTAGCACTCCCGTGTTTTAATTTGTGGTAGGATAAATAACTACACGTTCAACTGGGATCGAATGCTCTCGTTCGAAGGTGATACGGGACCATACCTCCAATACGCACACGTGCGACTCGCATCTATAGGACGAAAAAACCCACATCTTCTCCCACTCCCCCACCCTTCTCAACTCGACACATCATCGCTAGACTCCTTCTCACACGCGCGCGATATCGTTTTCCTCCTTGGCTCATATCCAGACGTAGTCAAGGTCGCGATGAAGACGCACGAGCCCAGCGGGGTGGTGACCTTTGCTTTCCGGCTGGCCCACGCGATATCCAGTGCGTGGGAGGTGTTGATCGTCAGGGGTGAAGAGGACTTGGAGAAAGCTCGTGCCCGGATGTGGTTGTATACTACTGCTAGGGATGTTCTCGCTGCTTCGATGCGGTTGTTGAGCATCAGGCCCCTGGAGCGGATGTAGGGATTTGAGATACGCAGATATATAACACGTAGAAGTACTATTGGTGATGATACTCTCTTAATGATTTGTCCTATCTGGCTCGAATGCTGCGATATGTTTCTACCTACACAGACTACGCTAGTATTAGCTACAATGCGCCACGCCACCGACGATCTACTATCGCGATCACGTGAACCACAACCCGGGTGTGACACCGCTTTCTTTCCTGTCCAAGTTTCTGTTCATTCTTCATCACAACTGGACTTGCAATTGACTGCAGGCATTCGTACTCAAGATCGTGACTGACAGCAACGTGGCTGTTCCTACCACGCACACTGGAGATCAGATCACCATCATATGGCACGACCTCTATTACTTCCATCAGCACACAAACCGTTTCGAGCCACAGGACCTACATAAACGTTCCAACAAGAAATATATCGTTATCAGCATCTTCTGCATTGACTAATACAAGGCAGAGCGGATCTGAATACTCGACACACTATTGCTTCGTGGCATAACGCAAAGAAACACACTATGGCGCAAACTCGGACAGCGACGCACTCATGTCTTGTAGTTTCAAAAATTTTGTCCATTGTTTTTTCTTTTGCGCCTCCAGAGACGTTGCCAGAGTGTGTAAATACTTCAAGGAACCTGCATTTGCTGCGTTGTATCAAAGTCCACCCAGTATAGAACCTCTCATCAGATGCATGCCTCAGAATTTATGGATTTTGGAGGACGTTTGGGATGCTTGGATGCAAGACGTGACTAGACAGTTTGTACGGTCTTGTTTGGCATAAGTATGCCATCTTAATTTTCAATTTGTTGCTTATCGTGCTGTCGCTAGAAACTCCGAAGGGCGATACGTGCAGGCGAATGGGTAATTTTCCAAAAGTACTCTGTTTTCCCTCCCCTTCCCCTTCCACTTCTCCCGAGATTGAAATCTCTGGTGTGGAAGGATAACCTCGAGGAGACACGCCCCCTCATTCGTTTTCTTCTCGGGCCCTCGCTCACTTCCGTCTACTTGAACATGGCCCCTCGTCCTGTCTTAGAAAGAGTCACTTTTATTCACGCGCTCACATGTATCGCCATGGATGTGTCCACAGATCAAATCCCTCTTTCTTGCGGAAATAGATTGGCGCACCAAGGCTATGGAGATGGCTTCTCATTTGGTGCCTAAGTTTCGTGAGCTCGGAAGTTTGACTAGTGGTAGTCTCAATAAACCTGCTACATTGCACCTGTCTCAGCTGGAAACATTGCATTACCTTGCGATGTTTCTGTCAGTCGACAAAGCTTACCGGGGTGTCAAGGGGTGGTTCAAACAACCCGTTTTCCCTGGGCTCTGCACAATAAGTCTAACTGGGTACAATGTGGACTCATTCCTCGGTTTCATCGAAGTGCCAAAATGCGTCGTCGACTCCCTATGCTTCGTCTCGCTTTGCGACTCTACGCTAAACGCAGAAGCGGTTCCAAAGATACTTGCTCCATGCCCCTCCCAATCGAATGTCAGGGTGTAACCTCAATCATCATTCGTTTACCAAGAATCCTCCAATTCGATTCTGAAGAAGTAGTACACAGTGATTACGCTATCAGCTTTGATGACCTGAAGCCGGTTCTCACTCTACACAAGATTAAATATTTCACGCTGGATATCAACTATCCATTTTCGCTGGACAACCAACAACTGAAAGAACCTGCTATGGCTTGGCCTGAGTTAGAGATACTGGATCTCGGTGCGACCCATGGCTGGCGAAAGCCCTCCGCAATCACATTGCCAGGGCTCCTTCCTTTGTTCCAGCATTGTCCCAACCTGAAACAACTCGGAATCGCCATCGATGCTTCGCATCTGACATACGAGCTACCGACCGATGGTATGCAGGCCAGAAATATTTCGTGCGTGGAGTTCTCAAATTCCTCAATAAAAGCACCTGCAGCGGTCGCTGCATATCTAGCGTATGTCATGCCGCAAATCCGCGAAATATATGCATGGCATACGCCGACGCTGCAGGAATATCCAGAGGTGGATAAGTATCAACCAACAGCGCTGGAGCCAAGTTGGACAGATTCTTCGAGCGATGACGAGATTGAGAAAACGTGAGAAGCATCTTTCCAGCAAGGGCACCGTTGATAAGGATGGGTGGGAGAATATAAGTGATGGCGAAAACTGGGATACCTGGGATACTTTGAGTGATTACTAGTAGTGCGCTGCTGTACGTTACCTCCTCAACTTTTTCAAGTTATACATATACTTACCCAGAATAATGTTCCCGATTATGTGCTTACTAGTACCAATGGCGATGGTATACATATTCTCAATGATTTTGACTTACCTGACTCGACTGCAATATGTTTCTACAATCGCAGGTTACAGTAGTATTAGCCGTAATGTCTGCACCGACGATCTATTATCGCGATTACGTGAACCACAACCCAAGTGTGACACAGCTTTCTTTTCTGTCTCAGACGTCCACGAGGGTCCCAAGCTTAAACCTGTTCATCCTTTATCACAACTGGACACTTGAAATTGACTGCAGACAATTTGTACTAAAGATCGTGACTGACAGCAGCGTGGTTGTTCCTATCACGCACACTGGAGATCAGATCACCATCATATCTGTTATTCCCATCAGTACGAAAATCGCTTCAAGCCAAAAAAAAAAAAGACCTATATAAGACTTCTATCAAGAGAAATATCCTTATCAGCATCTTTTACACTGACTATAATACAAGGGCAGAGTAGAGTTGAATATTCGACACGTCATTTTAACGCATATCAAAACGCATCATGCCCCTGGCTCGGACAGCAGCGCACTCATGTCTTGTAGTTTCAGAAATTTTGTCCATTGTTTTTTCTTTTGCGCCTCCAGAGACGTTGGCTTCGCTTGCTAGAGTGTGTAAAGTCTTCGAGGAACCTGCATTTGCTGCGTTGTATCGCGGTCTACCCAGTATAGAACCTCTCATCAGATGCATGCCTCTGGATTTATGGGATTTGGAGGATATGGAAGACGCGACAAGACAGCTTGTACGTCTATGAGCCTGCTAATTTCATACTTGGTTCGTTGATTACCATCCTGCCCACTTTCTAGAAACTTGTAAGGCCAATGTACGCAAGCGATTGGGTGGTTTTCAAGAAGTATGCAGGTTATGTACAAGAAATTACCATAGGGGGAGACGATTTGTTGGAGGTCGAAACGGATGTATACCGGGCCCTCACCTTCCCTCCTTTTGCCCCTCCTCTCCTCCCCCGACTAAAATCTTTGCTGTGGAAAGATAACCTTGAAGAGACGTGCCCGTTCATACCTTTCCTTCTCGGACCCATGCTCACTTCCGTCTATCTGAACGTAAATCTTCCCGAGTTAGGAAGAGTTCCCACTATCTATGCTCTTCCATGTATCGCCACGATGTGTCCGCAGATTAAATCACTCTACATTCCAGGAGTACATTTTTCTGCTAAGACTGTGGAGATTGCTTCTCGGGTGCTACATGAGTTCCACCAACTCGAGAGCCTGACAAGTGGTGTACTCGATCAACCCTCTATATTACATCTATCTCAGCTGGAGACATTGCGTTCTCTGATATTACTTATATCCCTTGACAATGCTTATCAGGGTATCGAGAAGTACTTCAACAAGCCCGGTTTCCCTGGACTTCACACACTCAAACTAACGGGGTACAAGATGGATTTATTCCTGGGCTTTATTGAAGTGCCAAAACAAGCGGTCGAGACCATAGACATCCATGCAATGTATGACTCCCCGTCAAATGGAGTAGTTCTTCCCAAGATACTCGCGATGCTCCCATTCCAATCACACGATCAGCGCACTAGCTCCATCGCCATCGGCTTACCCGGTACCCTCCGCTTTGAAGATGGCATGGAAGAACACAGCGACTATGTCATCAGTTTTCACGATTTGAAGCCAGTGCTCATCCTACATAAGGTGAAAACCTTCACACTGGACATCAATTATCCGTTCTCACTGGACGACGCACAATTGAAAGAACTCGCTATGGCTTGGCCTAAACTGGAGTGGTTGGAACTTGGAGCGACACATGGTTGGCGACAACCTTCCGCAATCACCTTGCCTGGATTCCTTCCTTTGTTCCGACATTGCCCCGAACTATTCCGTCTTTCAATCGTGATTGACGTTTCGCAATTGGCTTACGAGCTCCCTTCAGATGGTATATGTCATAGATCTCTTTCATTATTTGAGGTCTCCAATTCCCGAATAGAAGCCCCTGGAGCAGTCGCTGCATTCCTATCAAGTGTCGCACCACAAATCCACAAAATAGATGCGTGGAATACACCGACTCTGATGGGTCAGCCTGAAGCAGAAAAATATCGAGAACGCTGGAGCGAAGTTGAACGGATTGTTCTAGAGACGAACAAAATGAGGAGAATTAAGATAATAAGAAGATTCAGGCGGCAACTATGTCATCAAGACGCTGATGATGCGGACTCGGATGATGGGGAGCATGCATGAAAGCGAAGGCAAAAGGTTGGCCGTTTAAGCAATTGGTATGCCATACAAACGTTCTACAGCACTCCTTAACTTCATACTCACCCTAGAACGCGTCCCTAGTTCCATTTCATGTTCTCTCTAATTTTATGATACATCTTTTTCACTTCGTTTGTATTCCTGAACTGTAGTTGGCTTCGAGTCTATATGGGGTAATTCTTTTCGTTCGATCACTTTTGTCTCGGTTCTGTGAGGGTGGTGGAGTAGTTGTGGGGCTGGTGGGGCTGCAATCTATAGCCTTTCAAGCTTTCGCCCAGTCCTCCAAGTTTATCTTTTCGTGGAGCCGATTTTTTACTTCGATCGAGATTGCTTAGCACGAATTACTCCACTCCCCAGATCTCAAGTCCCCACAGCTGAAATCAAGTTTGCCGTTCTCGTTAAGGAAGGTGTTAAAGAACGGTCGCTACGGCGATTAGTTGAAGCCCTCCCGAGCTTTTACCCTGTTTGACACTCGCAGTAGTCTCAGACTTGACCATCGACACAAATCCGGTATTACAAGTTCGTACCCCAGTCCGTGTCCTTATCATGACTGTTGAATGTACGACTCCGATCTGTAGTGATCTCTCTGGAGGAACAGATACAGAGCATAATTGTTTGTTGTTGAGTTCAAACCATCTCAGTCGTCGTAGCTAACAGGGTTACTCCTAGGACATTCTCAAGGAACATGGACAACCAAATTCTGGTAGGTGTCTGACATATCTTCTTGAGGTAATCGAGTTAAACAAAGTCTGATTTCCGAATACCGAAGATGGTAAACAATCCATCACTTTCGGAGAACTGCTGGGAAAGACGCATTGTGAGCCCTTCCTGACTATCAGTTGAATGTATTTCTACGCTGACCGCTTTCCATCTGACTTTTAGCTGATGCGCTCAATATGACGCTGAGAAAGGCAAAGAAGAAAGGAATTGTTAGTTCAGGACGACTACACTACCTTTGGCATGCGTGCTGACCGATGTTTCATCTCTAAACTCAGTTAACCTTTGATGGCGAGATCCTCATGCAAGGGAGAGTAGTCAGTGGGAGGACTCCCGAAGCTGACAACGACATTCCAATCGTGCTGCTGAGTGAGGAGATTAAGTGATAATGAAAATAGAAGTGCGTTGGGATAGTGCGTATGATGTAGTAATCAGTTGCGCGTGTAGCTATCAACAAGCTATCAGACTATCAAGTGTAGCAACCGCCACGCATTAATCACCATGCGCGTCTTTTAGATGATGATCGACAGTGCAGTGTTTAGCAGTGTGTTGACCTTGATGAGTTTTGAATAACAAATGGCTCTTATTGTTGTTAGGCTTTTATCGCCGAAACGTGATGCTTAACACTTATGATCGTGGAACGTTAACTGCAGTTGGAGGAGATAGCGAGGCTCACACCGAGATTTGCCAAAAATATAAACCAAATTATAAACCCACAAATACCAGAAACTATACTACGGATTCCCCTGGTTTTTTTACAATCACAATCCCAAATTAGCCAAAGATCAGGCACATTTTTACTTCCTCTTGGGGATGTTAGAGGTGGTACCGGGGCAGAGAGTGAGGGTGATGGCGGCGTTACTACAAGTGTAGTCGACGTTGTCGGCGGGGGTGTAGCCGGCTGCAAAGAGTGAAATTAGTTGTGGGCATGATAACTCGAATAGGAAGAATACTTACCAGCACCATCGTTGTCGGGGAAAGCGTATGCGTTGGGGCAGGTGGTGTAGTAGAAGGCAGAGTTGGGGCCAGGGCCAGCGTTGCTGACACATCCTCCTCCACCAGCGGGAAGAGCACCTCCAGAGCAAGCACTAGCTGACGAGCAGCATGGGGAGTAGCAAGTGTCTGATCCTGGTCCGGGAAGGGGCTACGCGATGATGGAAACTTTGAGACTCGGTATGAAACAATGAGAAGAATGTAATTTACGCAGTTGTTGATGGTGCAAGCGTAAGCATCGCAGCTGGCGTCAGCGGAGGAGATCTCCATTCCAACGTTATAACCGTAGATCAAGGAGATGTCGTAAGTGACTGATCCGGGGATGGCGTACTGTAGCAGAAATATGATCAATGATTTAATCGAAGAAGGCTGAAGAAAACACTTACGAAGTTGAACTCAGCCCTACTGAAAGGGGTGGAACCGTCCCAGGTGGGAGCACCGGTGGTGCAGGAAGATCCATCGCTGGTGCATCCAGTACCTGGAAGAGATGAATGAGTGAAGGAGCGCAAATGAAAGAGAAGAAGTACATACCGACGTTGACAGCACCATCCCAGTTGGAGCTGATCCCCATGTTGGCACTGGCACCGGCAGCGACGACAACATTGTTGTCGATGGTACCGAAGGAGGTCTGGGTGAAGAGCAGGACGGACTCGCTGCAAGAGTTAACAACGTTTAACGACTGTGCACTGACAGCAGTGGCAACAGTAGCGAGAGCGAGAATAGAGCGGAAAGCCATTTAGATTGATTGAGAGGAACTGGGGAAAGTATTGGAGAATGGTGAACTAAGATTGTGCACTGGCCTTTTATACATTGCTCTCAGGTCCAGTAGGGTGCTCCTTGCCTTCAAAACATTTCGTCCGACGAAATCATCTGAGACAGGCAACTAAGAAATTATACGTATGCTTACGCAGTAACGCAAGCTATCAATTGTCGGACATGCGTCTGCAGAGCTAGAATTAGACTGGGGTTCTCTTGTTGCCCGGCAACCCTGATTCTATCGAGGTGAAAATGATGAACAAAGCGTTGGCAAAGCGCTATAATTATCTCGAGAGCTGCTGTCTGATCATGAATGGGAAGCTGGCGGTACCGCAACGTGCAAGGACGATCACCTGGTTCCCGTGTGCCCTAACATACCAAACACGCGTAGAAACCCAATAACAGGTGGCAAGGTGGTGGAAAGAAAGAGAACCTGTATTTTCCCAAGCAGCATTCGTTGTCCCTACAACATACTATGCGATCGGGGAAATTGACCGTGACGTTTGAACGGGGGCAAAAGCTATACACAGGTGGCCCAGCGGTTGCTACATAGTGCCACTGCATTTGATTTTGAGCTCACTTGAATGTGTCGTAACTCACCAGTGCAGCAGTGCAGCCCATTTTCCCATTTTACCTTTCCTCGGACTTCGAGGAAAACAACCATGACGCGAAAATCGAACTCGTTCCTAGGTTAATATCCAACGATCGCTGGCAACATTCAAACGATCATTTGCCGCAAAGACCATATGTATCTTCGTGTTCTTCGCTTTTCTCGTGGTGTAACCCAGCGTAACCCACATGTAAGTGGAGCTCGTTGAACCGAGGGGCCTATCACCTGGATCAAAGGCCAAAACAGTCAAAGGCGATCACAGGCTGTGCTTCCCACGCTGGTAATACAGATAGACGCCGGGTTATGCCTTTAATCATTCACATGACTCCTAAATCTTAGTACTGTACCAGTTTATCCCTATTGAACCCTGATTTCCCATCCGGACATTTTTTGGCCAATATTGCAAGACACCTAGTGCAGATCCTCAGATGGGGCTTCAATGGGGGCCCCACCTTCTTTTTCTGTCCAGGCAATGTGACTGCTTGCTGATTATACCTGGTTGCAGGTCCAGACATTTATGCTGCCTGGTAGTCTAGTGGTTGATGGTGTCTGCTATGAATGACTTTTTAGCCTCTAGCACAATAGTTCAAGCCGCATAGATGTCAAATTTCTATGTATTGCATCAGTAGTCATATTTGGGTCATATATTATTTTGCACAATGCTGCTGGTTTGAACATTGTCTAAGCCAAGTCTGAGACAAAAATTTGAAGTCGGATTGCCTCAACTACAATTTCTAAAGGCATCTCTATGGCTCAAGTAGAGGTCTCTGAGGTAGGGCTTATGCACACACCACTAACATCCTGTGATGAAATGTGACTAGGACATTCCTTTTTGCAAAGAGTTAATGGCACTTGTAAATCATATTTTCGGGCTGAAGAAAATTGAATGGAAAGTTTTACTGTTCAATTCTCCACAACTCTGTGTGAGCCAATTTCTGAAATTGTGAGATTTACAATTGCTATCAAGAATATGGAGATAAATATGGTTATTTGCTGCGTGACAAAAAAGGATACACCAAAAAAGCAAATGATAATTGACACACACCTTCTGTCTTTATGCCTCGGACTGCATAATGCCAAAACACTCATGAAAGGACCTTTAAAATCTGGCATTGCATGCTTTTGGTGTCAGTAAATGTACTAGGAAAAGCATGGAGCTTCAGATGGGCAAAGAATATCAGAACAAAGTGCAGATGAGCCAGTGACTACCACCATTAGACATGCACTAACTGCATTTGTAGTCCAGGACAGCAAGCCCTGCAGTCAACTACTTGGACACTATCTCATTCAGGAACACTTTATTCAGACCCTCATCTCAAGACTTGCTGAATACTATACCTAGTGCTACAACTGCGGATACTGTACATCACTCTTTCTGGCTGAACATTGACCTTCTTCTTGAGGCATCCAAGGTCCTTGAACAACAAGAATTTAGTACAGCTAAATCACTACTGTCTCCACCACCATCCTGTACATTGTAGGTAGTCAACTTTCTGACTTCTGCAGATGAAGACCTTGATGTTTTTGTACCTTCCAGTGAAAAAGTTATCCACGAGTCAGGAAGGATGATTAAACAAGGAAATTAGTGGCAGTCCTAGTAATGGGGCTTTTGCATACCGTCTCCGGAAGCCACCCACCATAGTTGCTTCAATGGAGGGCTTTGAAAGATATTCATGCTATCTTGAAACCCCCATAAGCACTTGGATGAGGCTACAAAGACCCAGGCCTTGATATATACTCTTGTGAATGTCTGGAGGCAATGTGTACATTCCTACATTATTATACCAACACCAAGTGTATGGCATATGGCTCCTAGATATCGGCATTTATGACTGCAGCACATGGACTGGGGAGAAATACCTGGTTTGCATGGCAACTATGTACAAATACAAAGCTCTACATTGAGTATTGACTCAGCTTGCCAAGTAATTCATGTGGAGGATGAAACCAATCCTGCCTTGAAGTGATACTGCCAATGAGATCCATGAGCATCTACAGTTAATTGGAATGTATGTTCAGGCTCAAAACATTGTTGACTATTTAGCAACAGATGAGGTCAAAAAATGTCTGGGAATGAAAAAGATCATTTCATTAGCCACAGCTAAATGGTGAATGAGACAGATGAACTACAGGTGGGCACGCAACTTCAAGGGTCAGTATGTTGATGGCCATGAAAGGGCTGATGTAGTGTGGTATTGTCAAAATGTCTTTTTGAAGCAGTGGACAGATATGAAAGGACATATGTGTGCTTGGACAGAGAAAAGACCAAGAGATTGTTGAACTGCAAACTCAACAGCATCCTCTTGTGGTTTGGTTTCACAATGGAAGTACCTTCTATGCAAATGACCATCAGACTGCTCAATGTGTATCCAAGGAAGCTGGTGCAACTCCATATGCCAAAGGTGAAGGAGCATCTTTAATGATTGCTGACTTTGTGTCTGCAAATCATGGGTGACTGAGGTCATTGTAACAACCAAATTTTGTATACTCTGGCGCACAACTCAGACAAGCAAGAGTGGGAGAAGTAGGAGTGGGTAAACCCCTTAGGATAAGACCGAGTTAGTTGTGAGTAAACAACAGGAGCACTTACTGAGGAGTCTCTTTGATCTATTAGAGTATATATACTGTCACAGGTTTGTTTGTACATGCTGTACTATACAGTTGTTAAGGGTCTTGGCTGATGATATAATAGGGTGCAGCCCTTGTGACCAGCTCCACCTTGTGAGAGAGTTGTGTTTTAAAATAAGAAGAAGAAGCACAGTGCAAGAAAGTAAAAGATATAAGTGGAGTTTGAAAGTAAAGGAGAGTGCCACATAGCACAAGTGTTTTGAAAAGAGAAAGAAGGTTGAAGTGGAGATCAAAGGTTCAGAGTCCAAAAATTGTGTTATCATAATAGTTATTGGATGGGACAGTGATGGCTTGTGTCTCCTTTAAGGCTGGCAAGTCTCGTGATGGATACTTTACAGCAGTTGATATTATTGCACGGGCCCAGAAGGCCATGGGTATCCTATCAGAACATTATCCAGATGAAGATCACATTCTAGTCTTTGATAATGCTCCCACTCACACAAAGTGTGCAGACAATGTTCTCTCTGCTCAAAAAATGCTTAATTTATTCCAAAGCAAGGGAATAATTGGGGGGTGGAGGTAAATACATGTAACAAACAAGGACAAACCATCCATGAGCTTGACAGAAAGCCTATAAAGACAAAAATCTGGATGGCTAATAGAAAAATTGACAACAATACACCTCAGTCATTCTATTTTCCTGAATGTTATCCTCACACAGGCGTCTTCAAGGGCATAGCAGAAATCCTCAGTGAGCATGGTTATGGGGACTTCTCACATGTACATGCAGGATGCCCTGGTTTTAAATATTCTCCAAACATTGTGTGTTGCTGTTGTTGTAGGACACTTTACAATGAGCCTGATTTTGTAAATGTCAAGTTATGACTTGAGCTTGCTTGGGAAGTACAAGGATTCCAAGTTCTTTTTCTCCCTAAATTTCATTGTGAGCTTATAGAGCAGTGTTGGTAATATGCGAAGTGTGTGTACCAGCTCAATCCTTCACCCTCAAAGGAAAAGACCTCAAGAAAAATGTCCTTGCTGCATTGGGTTCTGTCACTATGCAGTAGATGAAAAAGTGGGCTTGTTATATTGCTTTGCACAATTGTAGTGCATTTACCAATTTTTTGCATACCCATTAAATATGCTTGTTGTTCTCATCACTTTATGGATGCTTATCACAAGGGGTTGACAGGGCAACAGGCTGCTTGGGCAGCAAAAAAGTATTGTGGACATCAAATCCTACCAAATGCAATTCTCAATGAGCTCAGAACAGCAGGAACATGATAATTTATCAGCAACTTGAGGTTATATTATCTTATTTATAATTTCATGTATTTCTATGCTCTGTATGTACCTCTTGTATTATTCTTATGTCTGACAGGATTGCTGCACTATTACCACCTCATATCTACCTTATACTGTGTTTATGTCTCCAGTGCTGACTCAAACATTGAGCAGTATGTTTGGCTGGGTCACATTTGGTCTCATTCCATCACAACCAGTCACAGATTATCTGATGTTAGTGGTGTGAGCATGAGCCCTACCTTACTAAATTCATCAAATCAGACTGGGTTGAAATAGGCAAAAAATATCTAGCCAAGGGTGCACCAGAATTTTTGGTTGATGCCAAAGCCATGGTTACATCCTCCTGGCAGGAACACACAGCCCCACCATCTCCTTTCAGTTACCAAGTTTCTTGCACTATCTCTTCCACCAAAATCTTCAGTATTCATCCTGGAAAAAGTTAGGTTATGGTTCAGCAATGACAAACCAGGCAATGACTGCACATTGATACCTCTTAGCACAACCCATACTCAATAACACATTTCTGTGAGACATGAAAAATGAATTCGGACAAGCATAGTTAGATGGTGCCCAATCTATTATTGACCACAGGTACAGTAACAGTCAGGACAGATTGCCATTATGGATAGTTGTATTCTGGGAGGAAATAAACTGACTCACAGATTCTCAAAGACAGTGGAGAAGATGCCAACAATGGCTTACCTCCAACAAGTCCCTCAGTTAATCAGACTATTTTAAGGCTTTAGAAGAAGCCCAAGCCTTACTGCCAGCACTAGCATGAAATGGTTCCATTTGTGGACCACCATCAGGATGAATAACACAACTGCTATCATGCCTGCTAGGGAGCAATTGTGTAGGAGATGAACTGCTTGATATAATGATGGAGGAACTTACTTTATGTGTCCAGAGCCAACCAAAATTTGCATTAAATATTATGATTGGCATGACAATGTTTGCAAGATTCATTGTCAAGACTGGTCAAGAAGGACATTATACTAGGAAAGGATCAGCTGTACTACTCAGGAAATATCAAATATGCTTGAAAAGCCTAACTTTGGCACAGTTATTCTTTCCTGTATTCACAAATGGCAACCACTGGGTTGCTATGATGGTGGATTTCAGCTACAAAACTATATCTTATGGTCAATCACTGTAACACTGACAAAACTCAAGATGAATTAACATAGATTTCCAGAGATTCACTTTCTGAGTGTATACAGCCACCAGGTGACTTTGTCCACACACTTCAAAAATGGCTCAAATATGCATTTGGAACATTATTCAAAAACCTTGGTGACAATATGACACATACCCACTCTCAACCTACACTATCAATACAACGCAATGTCGATCATCATCTCAAACACGCGCGCAATGGTGACTGCGTGATGGTTACTACACCTGATAGTCTGATAGCTTGCTGATAGCTACATGCACAACTGACTACTACATCATACGCACCATCCCAACACATCACTGAAAGCCTCGGTATGAACGTAACAACAAACAATCATGCTCTGTATCTGTTCCTCCAGGGAGATCACTACAGATCACACATTTAACGCTCATAATAAGGACACAGACTGGAGTATGAACTTGTAAGACCGGATCTGTGTAGATGGCCAAGTCCGAGACTACTGCAAGGGTCAATCAGGGTAAAAGCTGGAGGGCTTCACTAGCAGCTGATCGCCGTAGCGACCATTCTTTAACACCTTCCTTAACGATAACGGCAAACTTGATTTCAGCTGTGGAGCCTTGAGATCTGGAGAGTGGGGTAACGTACTAAGCAATCTAGATCGAAGTAAAAAATTAGCTCCATGAGAAGATAAGCTTGGCTCCAAGGGCTACGCGAAAGCTTATAAGACTAGAGATTGCAGTTACATTTGCCAACGGCTAACTCAGAACTTCTGAAATTCTAGCATGAAGTCAGGCAATTGGAGGATATGTTCGATTTTACCGCATTTCAACAGTACAAGAACATAACCATAGGCATCATCATATCACATGGATAGATCATTGATAGTGCTCTGTATCTTGTAGATTCAATAAGTTAAAAATATTATATCACTTTGTTGGCATATTATATACATTACAATAGATTCTTCATTCTTACAGTCACTTTCATTCAACTATTCCGATATTCTGATAGATTACATAAGTTTCCTAATTAGGATACAAAAAAGCGCACCCAACCTACCTTAGACACCTCAGTCATTTACCAGAAAGACTGAGGTACAGTAAACATTATTATTGCAGTTAAACCCATACTTACACATTCCTTTAGAGTCTTTTACTTTACAGTTCTGGTCATCACATCACACTTTTCGTTGTCTGTAGTAAAAGAATAACTCTGAATTATTGTTAGTTTGTTTTGATAGTCTATATTGCAGTTTGTCCTACCTCATCCTATTTGTAGAAGACTGAGGTAGGTGTCACTGTGATGTCCAATGCCTTAGTCTGTTAATAATTCTAAGTGAAACTCAGCCACTGCCTGAGAGGCTATAGAAATGACTGAGGTATTCCTACACTAAACCCCCTACTACTTATAGTCGGAGGTGCTACTCGCTACAGTATAATGACTCCTAGGAGTACAATGGTGACTCCATGGAGTGGTGGCTATGCTCCATGGAGAACAATGGCTGCTTTAGCAGAGACCGGGTTTATCCGATTTTGTCACTCCACTCGAGTGCAACCGTAGTCCCATAGCTTTAGAGAATTTCCAGTGTTTTTTGTGAGTGAGGGGTTTAGTGAGAATGTTGGCAACCATATCTCTCCTGTAGGAACATATCCGATTACCACCTCTCCCTTTGATACTAAGTCATCTTGGATAAAATGATATTTCCGTTGAATGTGTTTTGTGCGAGCACGGAACTGCGGATCTTGTGTAAGAATAATAGCTGCTTGATTGTCACAGTGCAATGTTGTAGGTCCTGAAGGTGTTGAATGACTCCTCGGAGGTGTTGTATGCCTTCCAGAAGCTGATCCAATGGACAGGTTGTCTAGCTGTATTCGGACTTTTTCCACACTAGCTGGCTGTATGTTGAGGGGCTGTCCTCCCACTGACTGTGACTCTACTTTGGGTTTCCATTCTGAAGATGGCCAGTGTTTGGGTCTTGGTTGTAGAGACTGTTGTGGAGGGTGTCTTAGCTGATCAGGTGCTCCCACTGCTCTCAGAACGTCTCCACGGAGGTATTGCCCCACTGCTCTCAGAACATCTTCATGCTGATATGGTTCCATTGCTTGTGGAACATCTCCTTGGAGATGTGGTTCTATTTGCAATTCATTTGGATCTTGGATCTGAGGGTCAGGATCATCCTCCTCCAATGTATTTTGGTCTGGATAGTAAGCATTCTCTGGAATGGGTCCCTCCCACTGATCTGTGCTAGGGTCTGTGTTCCAGGTAGCAGTGTCGTCCTTTTGTACCTTTCCGGATTCATTGAATATGACATGCCGACTGGAAAACACAGTTCGTTTTTCAGTGTCTAGGAGTTTTTAGGCTTGCTTTCTATGTGTATAGCCAACTATCAAGGCTTTGCGCCCCTTGGAGTAAAACTTCCCTTGCCTTTTGTCTTTCGGAATCAAGGCATATGCTTGGCATCCAAAAGGGTGAAACAAAGTTGGATCAACTCTCCTTTTAAACAGTATGTCATATGGGGTCTTTCCATGGAGTCCTGATCCTGGGCTGCATGCTGTGATATATGCAGCTGTTTGCATGGCATCTACCCAGAATGACTTTGGGAGCTTGGAATCATGGAGCATAGTGGTTGCTAATGTAGCCAATGTCTGATTCATACATTCTGCAATGTCATTTTGTTCTGGAGTATCTACAGCTCTAGTTTCTTGGATGACACCATCTCCTTGGAGTTGATTTTTGAATGCATTGCCGGTATATTCTCCTCCCCCATCGCTCCGGAGGAATTCTGTGTACAGTGGAGTGAAGTTCTCTTCTCCCAAATGAGTTTGGAAGAATGTTTGGACATCTTCTTTCCATTGCTTATATTGTTCCAGTGCTTCACTTTTGTGTTTTAGGAAATATATCCATGAAAATTTGGAGAAATCATCTACAATAATAATCCAGTACCAAAAACCCTCCCTGGAGGTTGGTTTGATTTGTCCTCCAACATCTGTGTGCACAATTTGTATGGGATGCTTGGCTCGGTTTCCTCCAGTGGACTTGAAAGGTAATTTCTTCATCTTTCCTAAAGCACAAGGTTCACAAAACTCCGGGGTTCCGGTAAGGGTGTCTATGTCCTGGAGCTGTCCTTTTGTAACCATTCATTGCAAGTGGTGTCATGCACCGAAGTTGATTGGTAGCATGGACAGGTGTCAAGAATGAAGCGAATATTCAAAAAGACTCACCTTTGCGTCACACGGGCACAGTGCCACATGGAATAGTAATTAATATTGCCTTTTTGAATTTGTGGCTGATCAGCACCACCTCTATTAGGCAATCCAGTCGTGTCCACCTTTGCTTTTCCATTCAGTACTTTCCGCATTTCAGCATTTCGGCAAATTTTTGCGTTGCCACTGGCTACACATTGCACCCTCCCTTTCATTGCCCTCCCTTACCTTTTTTTTCTTTACTCAGTCCCACCATGGGACCCTTACTCTCTTTTTTATTCTCACCCAATAGTCGCTTCTGGATCCCTATTCTGGTTCACCTCCTTGTCACCTCCACCTTCCTCCTCCTCATCTTCTTTGCTCCCCCACCATTTCTGATGTCACCACTTCCTATCCGCTTCTATCGCCGATCCGTTGACTACCACATGCCACTGCTGATATCAGCAAAGCCCCGGTGGTGTCGATGATGAGAACTGCTGTTAGAAAACCACACACAAAACAAACTAACACACAATCCTCCCAGATTCCACGGAACTTGTTTATGGGCTTTGCCTCCTAGAACAGTGGAGTGGTCTGGTTGTTCGTGGGGTGGTACGTATAAAGATCCTTCAAAGTAAAACCCAGAGGTGTATGAGTGTGGGTTTTGAGGAGGAGGGATAGTTGAATTTATAGAAGGATAGGGGCTTTGTGGCGAGTATAGACAAGCACTACCTTGCTAATCGTAGCACAAGGTAGGTTTGAGAACAACGAGGATGACGAGGTGACGAGGTTCCCAGTGATAACAGGCTCCTGACGCACAAACTGTAGTGCTCAGAAGGACTCTAATCGAAAGGGATGACAATGACTTCAAAAGTGGGAAGTGACGATGACAGCAGTTGACAGTGGTAGCAGTGGGAAGTGTTGTGACCACACTGGATCACAAGCAGCAGAGTAGTGAACTTGAAATTAGAGAAGAAGTCTGGAATTGAGTTCCTGTTTTTTTTACAAGGTAAAATACAGGGGTTTATATAGTAAAAGAAAAGTAGGCTATGCACAGTATAGCTGTGCAAAAAGAATGAGAAAGAACATGAAGGAAGGAATGTACACTGACGAATCCTGCATAGGTAGTACAGGATAAGATTGTCAAAAAAAGGAAAAGAAAGGGATAGAACAATGAATGCTGTGAGTAATGTCACAGGTTTGTACAGCCATAAAGTAAAGTCCAATAGCAAAAAGAGAGCAGGAAAATCATGATGTCATGGGAAGATGCAGTAAAAAAAGGGCAAGGCAAAACACTATCAGTATCAACACAGTTCCTTTATTGTCAGTCAGACATTCTAAAAAAATATGTGTCCATAAAAATGATTCAAAAATCAAAAATAATCGCACTGTAAATGAATGTTCTGCTGAAAAAAAAAGAAACTGGAGCCACCAGTCCACCACCTAGTCCAAATCCGACAGTTCCATGGCCTTACCAATGGACTGCTTGTGTTGGACCACCTGATCAAATGAGGGAGGGAGAGGAGTAGTTCCAATTTGGAACAAGTGAGTCCCAGGCAGGGTGTGGTAGGTGTAGCTGTAGCGAAGACGATGGACAAAAGATAAGTGTACCCAAGTGAATGGGACAGCGATGAACATGGGCAACGCAAGGGGATGAACCTTCTCCAGCTCAAAAACTACCCACCCTCGCTCCAACCAGGCAAGACGAGCGGCCGATGTTTTGATAGTATATGATGGCAGATCGACGTCATGAAGATGGACCTGTTGCCCTATTTGGACCGGCCGCCGGGGCATTGCTGATATCAGCAGTGGCACATGGTAGTCAACGGACCGGCGACGGAAGCGGATAGGAAGTGGTGACATCAGAAATGGTGGGGGTGCAAATAAGATGAGGAGGAGGAGGGTGGAGGTGACGAAAAAGTGGATTAGAATGGGAATCCAGAAATGACCGTCAGGTGAGAATAAAAAGGAGAGGAAGGGGCCCATGGTGGGGCTAGGCAAAGGAAGGGGAGTAAGGGAAATGACAAAAGTGAGGGCGCAATGCAATGTGTAGCCAGTGGCGATGCAAAAATTTGCCGAAATGCCGAAATGCGGAAAGTACCGAATGGAAAAGCAAAGGTGAGCGTGACTGGATTGCCTAATAGAGGTTGTGCTGATCAGCCACAAGTTCGAAACAGGCAATATTAATTACTATTCCACGTGGCACTGTGCCTGTGTGGCGCAAAGGCGAGTCTTTTTGAATATTCGCTTCGTTATTGACACCTGTCCATGCTACCAATCAACTTTGGTGCATGACATCCACGGACAACTTGAAATTGCAACTGTCCCCAGTTGCTTCCATAAAGGTAGGGTCATAGGGAATGAAACATGGCAACACATTAAAGGGTCATGTCAGCATAAAATTCGTTCGAGTAAGTCATTAATCGTTATCTTCATCATCTGAGTCGTTATGCTCATGGTCAGGTTTGTCTTCTGGTTCATCTAGGTCGTTATCATGGTCATCCAGTTCGTCCAAGAGGGGCATAGAGTGGCGGTTGAAATAGGGAAGTAGGCAACATGCTGCAATTCCTCTTCGTGATACTGATCCATCCATTTCTTTTAGAACATACGATCCTCCTTTAGTACGTCGCACAACTTCATAAGGGCCATTGTAACGAGGCTTTGCTTTACGATCCAGCTCTTTCTCAACCTGAGTATTCCACACTAGAACAAGCTCTCCAGGCTGGTATTCGTTCTTGAACATCCTTCGTGCATAGAGTTTCTCAAACTGCGCTTTAGATCTGAGACGAGTTTTGCGTATAGTGAGTGCAGCTTGTTGTAAATCATCCTGTCTCTTTTCTAGTTGACAAATGCGCAGAGCAATGAGGTCTTCTGTTGACATTGCAGTATGGAATCCATGAACAAGGAAAGTCGCTTCTGTCAGATCAAATGGTAGGACTGGGTCAACTCCGTGCAACAGATAAAAAGGGCTGAATCCAGTAGAACAATGAGTAGTGACCTTGTCTGCAAAGAAGGCATGATGGACCTTGGTTGGCCATAAATCGACATTCCCTTCACAGGACTTGACAAGTGCTTCTCTTATGACAAAGTGTCTACGCTCAACAACACCATTTGCCTTAGAATTGTAGGGAGAAATGCGAATATGAGGGATCTGGTAACGTTCCACAAGCTCTTCAAATGCTCCTTTGACTTCACTTCCATTATCTGTGACAACTTCTCCTATAGCTCCATAGCGACAGATGATTTCTTCCCAGAAAAAGCAAGCAAGATTATGTGCAGATGCTTTCTTCAATGCTCTTCCTTCTGCAGCAAGTGACAGATCATCTCTTGCAGCAACAAGATATTGATATCCTCTGGCCTTGGGCATGAGCATAATGTCGACATAGACTTTGGTGACGATTGTAGGAGGTGATGAGATGGTAAGTGGGACTTCACTTTTGCGTACACTTCGAATCTGGCATTCATGGCAGGTGCGAATATGATGCTTGACATCCTGTAACATATGGGGCCAGTAAAAGCGCTCTCTGACTGTAGAGAATACACCATTGACTCCTCTGTGACCAAGCCTTTCATGTGCTTTAGTAAGGATGTGAAGTTGAAGGTCAGGATTGAAGATGACTTTGAGAGGAGTAGCAGAGTGACAACGCTTGAACATGCTGTCTCCTTTCAAGAAGAATTGAAGTGATCGCTTGACAAAACACTTTTGAGCTTGAAGAGAGGAAAATATAGGCAGCTCCATAGTTTGAAGAAAGTGGAAGATTCGACAAAGAGTATCGTACTGAGAAGAATCATTGGTAAGGAACGAAAGGAGTGACATAGGGTGATATGGGAGAGGTCTGGCAAGATCAACAAGAAGAGCGATATCATCAAGCCAATCATCTGATTCTTGAGCATCTTCAAAGTCTTCCTCTGTTGGTTGACGACGAGATAATGCATCAGGACCACGATGACGATCAGCAGGTATGTGAATGAGCTTGAAATCAAAGAGAAGGATGCCCTGAATCCAACAATTGATAGTGGCATTAGGCTGAAGATCTGGATCATTGAGCATGCCTTTGATATATTTGGCATCCACCTCCACATGCAAGTGTTTTACTCCTGCAATGTAAAGGCAAAAATGACGAAGTGCTCTGAACAAACCATATAATTCTAGCTTGGGTTGACTGTAATTTGCCTCTCTATCATTCATGGGAATAGAGCCATAGCGAGCTGGACGCTTCCTTCCATTTTCATCAAGCTGGGAGAGGATAAAACCAACAGCAATCTTGCTGGTATCAACTGAAAGAATGACTGGGTTGTGTGACAAATAATTTATAGGGTGAAGTGCTGGTGCAGAAGATACTGCATGCTTCAGAGCATCAAATGCTTCTTGTCTGCGTTCATCCCATTGAAATTCAGCTCCTTTCCGATACAATTCTGTCAAGGGGCGTGCAAGAGCAGAGTAATTGTGGATCCAAATGCAAACTGTGCCACATAGACCAAGAAAACTGCGAACATCTTTGGGAGTCCGGAGAATTTGCCATTTAAGAATCTTGTCCACCTTGGTACTGTCAGGGAGACGACCTTCTGGGCAGCATACTTGTCCGACAATCACAACTTAGAGACGACATAACTGAGTCTTCTTTCCAGAGAAAGTTCCACCAGCATGACCAACTCTATG